CTGCCATGTGATTGGTTGATTAGATAATTGCATTAATGAGAAATTGAACAGGTGTTCCTAATAATCCTTTAGGTGAGTGTATATGACACCCTCAAAGGGTATATATATGGTACATATATATTATATCATATATATTTTTCAAAATAAAAGTTGTACATATGTTTTGTTATATGTATGCAGCACGGTCATGTTTTTAAAATTTACTAATTTTTGGGGGGTGGTGGGAATAAAGCGTATTTAAAGGGGTACCTCTCATGGAATCTACAAATCTTTACCAGCTTTTGAACCCTGAGCCACACGGGGACTGGGGCTTTTAACTGTGAGACTCGACACCTATGCATTAGATCCTTACTTCAGCAATGGTCCCCATGTACCCAGTGTAGGGTCAGGTCCATCACAAGAGAATGTCTCCGCCGTGAAAGAACGATCCAGCAGCATTTTCTGTATCAACGAATCTGTAACCATTCTTTCCATTCATTATATGCTGACTTTTCCAAAATAGTTTTTTAGCTGAAGCATAAAAAGCTTTAACTTCGAGTGCACCTGGTTAATAGCATTTTATTTTATAACAGTAGGAGCTTGTAAACTGCATTTAGCAGTCACATTAAAACACATTAAAAACTTTAAAGACATACTCGGTAGGGTTACAGTTGGATTATAGTGTGCGCTACGAAATACACTACAAGGGTCTGAGTATGCCCTATCAAGTGCACACAACTGGAAAGGACTGAGTATGCCCTTTCCAGTGCGCACTTCGTAGTGTACACTTAGACTTAGGCTTAGCGTGTTTACATAAGCACTGAGGGTGTGTTTAGGATTAGAGTTATAGCTTGTGTTAGAGATAGAATAAGGGCTATGGTTACTGCTATGGTGGTCATAGACTTAGGGGTTAGACATCAGGAAAAGCAGGGAACTACTGACCACTATCATCTCCCCAGGAGAGAGTGTAGACATGCTGCAGTGCTAAGCCCCTTGGCATCTGAGGCAGAGTGGGGGGGGGGTCAGAAGGCTTGAATCTTTGAGGCTTTCAAAATAACTTCAATTTTGTGTAATTTCCCATATGTCTCTGACTGGACCGGAAATCCAGTGGAGCGAAAGTTCTATTACTGGGGAAATATCGCCATCTATAGGTCTGTCCTACCATTGTCATGGGGGGGGTTGTCTTCTGTATGTCGTTTCATTAAGCAAGCTTGCTAGCTAACTAGCTTCCGGGTTGATGAAACATGGACATATTTTTTTAAAAGCAGTCAACCTCAGCCACCATCCACAGAAAGGGTATCAGCATCAAAAACACTGATGATGATTCCGCTTAATGAATCTGCAGGTGTAACACTTCGGCTAGTAGCAGTGAGTTGTGAGGTGACCAGCCTAATGAATTTCTGTTGGCTAGCTAGCTAACGTTAGCTGATTTGACTGTGTTTCAGTAGATGCCATAACGTCATGTTTTTCCCAAATGATGCACAGATTTTTTTTGTCAGCCTTTTATGTGAAATGGTTTGAAAAATGGTGCATATAGCTGCTGAAAATGGGGAAAGTTATCAGTGACAGACATGACAACACACTTATTCAGCAGACACACAAATAAAGTTTGGGGTCAGAGAGCAAAGCCAACCTGAGTCGCTGTAGGAGTGTGGTTAGGGCCTCGATAAGGGGCCCCTCAGTGACATGAGTACTGTGTCAGCTACCAGATTAAAAACCAACAACCCCCCCCCCAACATCCACTTTGAAATAAGGTCCGTCCACAGCCCTCCCAAACACACACACACACACACAACATTCCAAAAATCCAATTAGCACAATTATCTACAGGTGAAAATTTTGCAGTTAATTTCATATAAATAGACAATAAACCAACCAGCCTCACCTGCAAAACCTCATTTTCCACAGAAGGCTGTTCTGCTAAACAAAGTGCCTTTTTATTTTTTAACACATTTCATTTGGTTTAGTATGCTGAAGTCCTTTGTCATATACATTATCATTATTATTAATTGTTACCCCATAGTACAAAGTATTTTTCCACTAAAGCCAAGAAAGAAATTGCTGGATGATCATTTCTTTTGGTGTCCTTTTTTGGGTCTGCTAATTAAGTTTAATCAACATAAACATTAATATGTACAACTGCTGAAGGTAAAACAATGTAAATAGTCATTTCAGCAGCAGCCCAAAAGAAAAGTGCATATTTGTGACAAGAAAAACAGCTTTGTGTTATTTAAAGGACACATAGACAGAGAATATGCCTGCAGTGGTTCACAGTCTGACCACTACAGTGACCTGATCAAGCATAAGACCCAAATTCGGAGGAACTAAAGTTAAGTTATTATTGAGAACTTGCTCTATACATCTCAGAAAATGTTCCAAAATAAAGTTACAGCATGAAAAATGCCACCTGCACTTCTTAGGCCACAGGCAGCCCCACTACTCCTTATTCAGGACATGGAGACTTTTTCCTCTACTTGTGCTTGTCCACTGCAATGACTGCCGGAGTCACGGCTGTAGGCGATGCACTGCCTGTGAGCAGACGTCACATTAATGTTCATGGATAATAGTAGATGAAATAGCTGCTTCTCTTTTGTAAGATGTGGCATCTTCCCACTTCTAAACCTTTTCAGATGGCCATTTCCAAAGGAAAATATCATAAACCATTCACTCACCTTACAGTTCCCACTCCAATAGCATGTGAGGAATTACATTTTCATCCATCCATCCTTTACATTTCCTGTACTCGCTTCTACTATTCACTACTAGTCACAGGGGGTCCGGAGCCTATCCCGAAAACTACAGGCGCAAGGCAGGGAACAACCCAGGAAGGGCGCCAACCCATCGCAGGGGACACTCGCATGCCATGCACACCTATGAGCAATTTGGTAAGTCCAATTAACTTGTGCATGTTTTTGGACTGTGGGGAGAAACTGGAGTACCCAGAGGAGACAACATGGGGAGAACATGCAAACTCCACACACATGGAACCATGACCCCAGAGGTCTACTACTGTGCCACCCGCAAATAAATTTCTTTTTAGAAAATCTTTCCCAGATTAAGTACTGTAGGCAACACATTGGCCTTGAGTGGACTGGAAAGCTGAATTTTTCCATACTCACTTCCTGCGCTGCCACCCTTTGGTTATCCTTGCAGTTTGGCTGTTCTCTCTTGCTCTTCTGCCCTGTTGACCTCAGCACTTGAGGCCAAACCAGGTTTCATCTTGATCCCCAGCTTGTCTGAGCTGCAGGGGAAGTGTGCTGCTGGTTTCTTGGCAACAGGTGGTGGCACTTTGCTGGTTCCCAGGTGCCCCCCAAGGAAGTCAGAGCCCAGCCCCGCTGTTAAAGCTTTATCTAAATTTGACTGCTCCTCAGAGGATGACGGTGCCTGTATGATGGTCTTCTTAGTGGACTTAGAGAAGATGAAACTAGCAGTGGAGGCTGGCGACTTGTACAGGTCACTCCCTTCTGGTGAGTGTGGAGATGATGGGGAGGTGGGTATTGGGAGGTTGAGTCGAGCCATAGGCCCATCTCTTGTGGACATGGCCGCCGTCTTCATGCGGATGGCTTCCTGAAGCCGCATTGAGGGGGTATTGGCTGTAGCAGCAGTGGACTTATTTGCAGATACTAAAGTCATCAAAGAGCATTGAGCAGGTACCAGCCTTGGCAGGTTAGATTTTATTGATGACTTTGCAGATGTCCTGGTGGGTGGAGTAGATGTTGGAGGCAAGATAAGTGCAGATGTAGCAGGCATTATGTTGGACTGAACAGGTGTCCCATTAGATGGAGCAGGATTTGTAGCAGAAACGATTGCTGCAGGTGTCACATTCAAAGAGACAGTCACTTGTGTTGTGGTGGGTGGGGTAAGGATGGGCAGACCTGAAATCATGGGAGGTATAGCTATTGAGGGTGGAGCGGATGTTACAGCGGGCTGTGTGGGCATATCAGAGGGCATCATAGACTTTTTGGTGGCTGTTGTAGATGTTACATTTTGCAGAGTAGATACAGTGACAGGAGTTGCTATTGGGGGAGATGAAATTGTTGGCAATGGTGATGTTCCAGACAGGAACTTGTAGATTGGCTTCTTAGGCGCACATTGACCATCAGCACTGCTCTGTTCCTGAACAGTTCCATTGACTCCAGAGCCACCTCCTTCTGGGCTGTCTGAAAACTGAATGTGGTTCGGTTGGATCTTCTGGAGAAGAGAGGGAGAGATGGGAAGGCTACAGTCCTCCTTTGGAAGAGGAATGCTCTTGCTGATTGTCACAAAGTCTTTGCACTTACAATCATGCGCTGGAGGCACCGTCTGATCTCTAGAACTAGATTTCACCTCTTCAAGCAAAGGGGTTGCAAGGTGCATGTCAGATAATGGTGCTGATTGGCCTGAAGGTGGAGGTGGAGAAGTGCTACCCTCATGGGAAATATTAATACGTGCTGCTGGCAGGATTGAATGTAGGAGTGAAGGAGGGATACTCTGTTGGGGAGCACTAAGGGGAGGTGCTGGAGGGATTATAACTGGGGCTGGAGGAAAGATATCTCCCTGTTGGATTTTAAGAGGGGGTGCCTGAGGAATTGTAACTGGAGGTGGAGGAGGGATATCCTCATGTGAGACGTTAGGAGGTTGTGCTGGCTGGATTGAAACTGGGGGTGGAGGAGGGATACTCTCTTGTGGACTATTAAGGGGTAATGAGGAGGGGATTGTAACTGGGGGTGGAAGAGGGGTACCCTCCGGTGGGATGTAAAGGGCTGATACCTGAGGGATTGTAATTGGGAGTCGAGGAGGGATACTGTCTTGAGGAACATCATTGGGTGATGCCTGAGGGACTGTAATAGGGGGTGGAGGAGGGATATCCTCTTGGGTAACATTGTAGGGTGCTGCCAGAGGGATTGTAACCTGAGGTGGATGAGCACTACCCTCCTGTGGGATTTTACTGAGTGATGCACCCGGGATTGTAATTGGGGGTGGAGGTGGAATACCTTCCTGTGGGATGTTAAGGGGTGGTTCCAGAGGGATTGTAATTGGGGGTAGAAGCAAACCCTTTTGGGGAACATTAAGGGGGGCTGCTAGGGGGATTGTAACTGGGGGTGGAGGGATACGCTCCTGAGTGATGTTAAGGGGTGGTGCCGGAGGGATTGTAACCGGCGGTGGAAGGATATGCTCCTGAGTGATGTTAAGGGGTGGTGCCAAAGGGATTGTAATTGGGGGTGGAGGGATATGCTCCTGCGTGATGTTAAGAGGTGGTGCCGGAGGGATTGTAACCGGCGGTGGAAGGATATGCTCCTGAGTGATGTTAAGGGGTGGTGCTGGAGGGATTGTAACCGTGGGTGGAGGGATACGCTCCTGAGTGATGTTAAGGGGTCGTGCCAAAGGGATTGTAATTGGGGGTGGAGGGATATGCTCCTGCGTGATGTTAAGGGGTGATGCTGGAGGGATTGTAACCGTGGGTGGAGGGATGTTAAGGGGTGGTGCCGGAGGGATTGTAACCGGGAGTGGAGGGATACGCTCCTGAGTGATGTTAAGGGGTGGTGCCAGAGGGATTGTAACTGGGGGTGGAGGGATACGCTCCTGAGTGATGTTAAGGGGTGGTGCCGGAGGGATTGTAACTGTGGGTGGAGGGATACGCTCCTGAATGATGTTAAGGGGTGGTGCCGGAGGGATTGTAACTGGGGGTGGAGGGATACGCTCCTGAGTGATGTTAAGGGGTGGTGCCGGAGGGATTGTAACTGGGGGTGGAGGGATACACTCCTGAGTGATGTTAAGGGGTGGTGTTGGATGCATTGAAGCTGGAGGTGGAGGTGGTGCTTGCTTTGGCGGTGGTGGGATATTTTCAGGGAATACAGTAAGAGGATGTGTGGGTGGGATCATAACTGGGGGTGGGGGTGGTGCTTGCTTTGGTGGGGGTGGAATATCCTGCAGAAGAGGTGGGATTGATATGGTCTCTGGGGGCAGGTGCTCAACTGAGGACACTGGGGTATGTCTAGCAGCAGGAGGAGGAGGGGGCAGATGAGCTGGGGGAGGAGATGGGGGTGGGGAGACTGTGACTGGCCTGGGAACATCAACAGAGAGAATCTGTATAGACCTTTCATCCTGTAGAGAATCTAAAGTATCTACGTTTGTTAGTGTGACTGAGGACTCCTTTGGTCCTGGAACTATGTTCATCCCCATCCTATGTCTTGAACCTTCTGTCACCTTCTCTGATTGTCCTCTGAGAGAAGAGCTACCTTTCTTGCTCATCTTCATCGCTGGCTCCTTCTTGTGTGACTGTCGATCTGCCTTTTCCTTTTTCTGAGCACCCAGGCTGAATATTCCTTTCCTTAGTGTCCTGAGGTGAGCCTGAGCTTCTTCAGGCTCTTTTTCATGTACTTTTAAGCTGCTCTCTTTTGAAACTTGTAGCAGGCTCCCTTTCTGAAGCACTGACTTTTCCTGCTCTATCTCCTGCATATCTGTATTCTTGGGCTTCCCTTCACAGACACTTTTTGAATCTCTAAGTATTAATGTCAGGTCCCCTTTGATGGAAGAGGATGTGTTGTTTTCTCCTGAAGAAAAACCTGTCATCCCATTGTGGAAGAGTTCTCCATTTTTGGGGAAGGGAGCATTGCTTTGCTGCTGCCATTCCTCTTGTACTGATGGCCTCCCGGCACTAGGACTACACAATAGGCTCACGATGCGGCCGTTGTGCAGCCATGTCTCTGGGGGTGGACACAGTGGTGCCTGTACCTGTGGAGGTTGCGGAATGTCAAATAAATCCTTGAGTGAAACAGCAGCTGAGGGAGATGCAGCATTATTTCCTGGGAATGGGATCACATAGGGGCAGCCTGTTGTTGTGTCCTGGATGGGTTCTGATATCGCAGACAATAGCTTAACTGGCGGCAGTTTAGCAGGCTGTGACCTTTGGTTTCTAGGGCACCCAGGGTTCGTACCATTGGTGGGTGTGCCATCTTGGTTGGTGTAACCACTGTAGGGAGACACGGTTTTTGCTAATAAACCCTCCAGGTCCACTGCATATTGATTGTGTGACTTGAACTTTTCCTGGTGCAGTGAGTTAGTTCTTCGTGGTGGGGGTGGCGCCCTTTTTGTTTTGGTCACTGACAGGCTTCTTAGTGAGGAACGGTCCTGCCGCATCTCGCTGGCGATTTCTCTTAGCTCTGGCCTCTTTCCATTGACAACCTGGTTTCCAGAGGTACTGCTGATGCAGCTGATGGAACTGATGATGCTAACCTGATCCATGGCTGGCTTACAGTGCCTCTCTGGCATACTGCTTCCTCTGCTGGGGGCGCGAGGTGTGCTTCCGCTGCCCTGGGAGGAGGCACTGGAGGAGTCAGACACAAGAGTGTCTGAAGAGCCAGACTTGCTCCAAGTGGAGCCACGAGAGGATAGCTCATAGCGGTCGTATCGGTTGTAATGCTCAGATGCGCGTGAGGGGGCAGGGCTAGCTGAAACCAAGCTGCTTTTGCTGAGTGTGCGCAAGCTGCTGCGGCTCCGCGTGCGGCTTATCTCCACCACATCCACGTCAACTGGCAGCACAGCATTGGGGATGATCTTGGACAGATAGGTGGCCTGTGGTGAGATATACATAACGGGGCTGGGGGGTGTCTGGAGGAGGCCGTCAGTGGTGATTCCTGGGGCAGCCAGTGACTGGGGGTCCACCTCATGCGTAGGCTGCCCCTCCTCCCCATGCGCTGTCTGTAGGTTGTGGCTTCGCAGCTGGTGCTCCTCTCCTGGCAGGTGAACATGTGCCAACTGCTGGCTGCAGGATGTGGCCGCGTCTCCTCCGTTTGAGAGCTGCCCGTCCACAACGTGCTTTGGCAATGCTGCACGATCCAAACCTTCAGTTTGACAAAACAAAAAGAATGAATGAAGTATACATGAAGTGAGTGACAGATGACAAGTGGTTCCCTTTCATTAGGTGTTAACACAAGGTTGATGCATGCATAATTTGTGCTGAGGCCCTGGCTGTGTGAATGAGTGCTTACCCAGCTCCTGCTGGATGTGTTGGGGGATGACTGTGGTGCCCCGGGCTTTTCTCTGGGGGTCTTCTCCTGGGCTTTCTTTCCCCAAGTTGAGTGGTCGGAATGTAGATCCTGTTACAGACACTATGTGTTTCAGTTGTACTACTTATTTCCTATCACATTAAACAGTTTAGGCTAAAGGAATAAGAGTGTAAAAATCTGGAATGTTCTGCTCTGATGAATGCTATGCAGACTCCCCCTACCTTGGGACCGTATCGAGCGTGTTGACCTTATGGATCGTGTGGAAATGGTAGATGCTGTTTCAGCAGCGATGCTCCTGGACTGCAGTGAATCCCTCCTCTGGCTAAAACTGTCATCCTCTGGTTGAAGGGCCACAGATGACTGTTGGATAGGGAAGCAACGTCATTTCATTCCTTACAGAACAGGATCAGCTTTGCCAGCTGCGCTATAATACACAGCATAGACGGGAGGAGAGCAAACACACTTACACTGACACTTTGGTCATCTTGGAAGTCCATTTCATTCTCTTTTTCTGAGAAGTGCATGAGGAAGACATGCTTTTAAGACTGACATCACAGTGTAAGTATTGGCTAAAGGTGAAGAGTACGCAAAGCATTAAGGCTTCACCTTCCTGCTGCTGGATCTTGAGCCCTTCCTGAGCCTCACTGTGTAGCTCCTCCAGGTGCTGTGGTCGGAAGCCTTCCACAAAGACATTCTCTGGAAAGTGCTGTGTTGCTGTGGAATGAACAGCATCCTCCTTGCCAGGAGACACTGGGGACACAAAGAATACATACAGGCGTTGAAAAAAATTGAGACATCTATATTTTTAAACAAATCTGCATTTTGAAATCCTGGTTTAATTGTGGTTCTGCTGGCAGAAGGCTATGCTGAACAGCAGGTTGCTTCTAGGTTCAAAGTTTCTAAGGCAGCAGTACACAAGAAAAAGCTGAAGCAGGAGACACTGGGAATGACCAGAATCCAGCCAGGTAAAGGGTGGTAGTCTAATGCCAGAGATTCTCATGAGTAGTAGGAAGACATCAAGTGACCTTCAAAAGGAATGGGAAACATGTGCAGGCGTGAAGTGCAGTGCTAGGACGGGTCATATCAGGCTCCTAGAAGCAGGAGTGAAGTCCCATAAAGCAAAGAAGAAGCCCTTCATTAATGAGAAACGGTGAAGAACCCGGATACAGTCTGCAAAAAAAACCAAAAAAAAACGCACATCCATAAATTGAGAAATGAGTCAAACAAAAAATTGAGCCATGGTCTCCTAATTTTTTCCATGGCTGTAGATGCACACACAGATCCAGTGTCTTTCAGAGTGCATTAGACATCATGTGTGTGATGCTGTAGCCTGTGCAGTGCCAATGTGACCAACTGAACTACACCTTTCAATGCCTGCAGCAACCAGCCAGTCCATTTGCCGGTAGGGCCTGCCACACATGGGCCTTGTGGATGGGGATAAGGATGGAGGATATCCCTCAGATTCATTGAGGAGATACAACTTGGACAATCTTTTAAACCAGCGGTTCCCAAACTAGGGTACGCGTACCCTCTGGGGTACACAAGAGGCTGTAGGGGGTACGCGAGGGAGCGGGGGGAATCACGAATTCGAATAACGAGACAGTCAGTAATTCTCACAACAGCGGAATCGGTGACCTCCAAAAAAGCCGTAAAACACAAAATACAGTCGTGTTTATGTCATATGTTTTTGTGCTTATTACACTCTAAAAAACGCTGGGTTGTTTTTTCAACCCATATGCTGGGTTGAGACTGCTGGGTAACAAAGTTGGGTTGATTTAACCCAATTTGGGTTGAAAATCGGTCTTGATCTTATAACCCAGCAGTGCTGGGTTGGGAACGCGGACGTGAAAGAGAGCACGCACGTCACGTCAACATCCAGGGACATCAGC